AGATCGGGGAGACAGGAAGAAGTTGGGGAGGGAGGAAAAAGGATCGCGCTGGGGGGGGAAGAAGATAGCATGGGGGTCGGGAGTCGGGGGATCGCGCGGGGAATCGGGGTCGGGGAATCGGAGTTAGGAAGGGCGGGGGGGGTTCTGCGCGGGGGATCGCGAAGTTGCGGGAGGGCGGGGAGTGGGATTGGGTAGGCAGCGGGGGGGAATAGCGTGTGGGAAGAGAGGTGGAGATGGCGCGTAGGAGGAAGGGGGAATGAAGACGAGGAAGAAGAAGACGAAGAAGAAGGAGGGATGACGAGGAGAAGGAAGAAGAACGGGGGGGAAGGAGGGTTGAAGAGGACGAGAAAGAACAAGAATCGAGGGAGGAAAGGAGGAGGAAGAAGGAGGAAAGGAAGCGATGACGACGATGACGAGGGGAAGAAGAAGAAGAAATGAGCGGGGAGGAGAAAAAAAGAAAGTTGCAGCAGTGACGACGGAGGCAGCGAGGTGCTGACGTGGCAATGGCGACAACGGCAGGTATGAGGCGCGATGCGGCAGCGATGACGACGACGAAGATGACGACGATGGCGATGATGTGGCAACGACGGCGACGACTTTGACGTGGCAACGACGGCTACGATGATGGAACAGGGCGGGAGGGAGGGCCGAAGCCGCTCCGATACCAGTGTGACGAGGCAGAGGCAGAGGCAGAGTAGCGAGGCTGAGGGAGAGAGAGGAGAGGGTGAGAGCACACTCACACACTCACGCAACTCGACGCAGACTCGACAAGACTCAACGGACGCATACACAAAGTGGCGAAGTCGCGAAGTCGCAAAGTCGCAGTCTTCGATTCCCTAACACAATGTCGAAGCAAGTCACACTGAAGCACAAGCACTGAGGCCGAAAACTGAATGCCCGTACTGGGCTTGAGTCCGGTCTTAAGTACCGGACTCAAGTTCAGTCTGGAGGGCAGAAGTGCCATTGCCTCAGGACTGAACTGAGAATCGAAAGTCTGAGTCTGGGCGCCAGAATGTCGGATGGCGCCAAGTGTCGAAATCCGAAAGTGCCAAAGGAGGGATTTGAAAACGGGCGCCAACTGCAGAGGACGCGAACAGTCAGAAACCGAAGAACAGGAAAAAAAAAAAAAAAAAAAAAATAGCAGGCTGCCGGGTGGTACCCCTCGGACCAGGGATCGAGCCCTGGCTGAGTCCGTAACAGATGCGCCGCAGGTGTCTCAGCGAAGAAGGCCGACTATGGTCGGCAGCAGACCTGCAGGATATGGCGCCAGGTGAGTGGACGACTCCACCAACACCTCATTCCTCTCCTCTACCTCTACTGCAACCTGCCTTCACAAGCCCTTGGCTGTCCAATGCCGTGCAGCCTGGTGGCACGCAACTGAAGTGATAGCTACCCCCTAACTACTGGGCCGGCCTTCATCCAACCGGGTCTCTAAATCTGAGACATCTGATCGGCCAAGGATCCGCTGATCCACTGAGAGGCCGGGTGGCCAAGCTCTAGCCAGGCTTCAAAAACATGCTGCCCGAAACATGACACCTGGCCAGGCTACAAAAGCAAACCGGACAAACGCTGGTCAGACACAACCTGCCTCAAAACAACTAAACTCACTAGTGCTATTGAAGTATTGCTAATGCACTAGCACCCACTGCTGCTCTCCAGCAGCCTGGTGGTGGATGGAGTAAACCAACTCTGTGTGTCTCTGACTCGTGGGGCCCAGCAATATACCACTCGGCCAGTCTCTCCTCTACCCAGTAGTCCTCAGACATTGCATATAATCTGATCCGATGGTCCAGGAGGATGGTGAAAGTTCTGGTCCAGAGGCGATGGCCAGCAAAATGTTTGGCTTGGGTCCATACAAGACGTCCAGACCTACCTGCTGCCTCGACAGCTATGCCTGGCAATGCCTAGCATGAACATGGGATGTATCAGATGCTACTGGACAAAAAAGGGCCATCCTTCAACACGGGCAAAGTCTCAAATGGCCTCCAACGTTCAAAATGTGTGAACCAGGCCTACCACTGGTCCGAAGAGGCACATCAAAAGTTTGAAACAACACCAGCCAAAAACGGACAAAACTGGAACAGACATTAGCAGAGATGAAAAATCTGAGAACCTGGACAAAACTCACAATGCATGAAGAAGTCCAGAATTATCAAACAGAATTGAACAGAACAGACATAGATGATTCATGCTGTCTGCAAGAATGTGCAGTAACCCTGTTCAGAAGTAGCCTGGGGCCTAGAACTCAGCCCCAGGCAACGCAGACCTGAGTCGGTCTGCACTGGGCTGTGTGACCGAAACACGCCCAGACTTGAGGCTGCTGCGTTGGCTGTGGGACCAAACGCTGCACAATGGAAATTCAAGGGTCAAAGTCAACTGTACAGTCAAAGGTACCGCGCMCAGGCCCTTGGTTGGATACACTCACTTGTTTGTGCGCAGGTACCCAGACAGCATCCAGACCAGGGAGAATTCGGTTTCAGACCAATCTGGGCCCTCGCTTGCATTGAGATCTGGAYGGCTGAGGGATGCGGCATCCGGGGTCCAGACCCCGCGTCAAGGCTACATAAGCWCTGACTTCCTGGMTTTGACATTCATTCTGTCTTGCGTTGACGCTGACTTCACGCGTTGACTGCGAYRCTGGCTCGATGCKGCGACGTTGGCTGGACGCTGGCTTATGTCGGCATTGTGACTTTGGCGACGCGCTGCTGGTCCGGCATAGTGGCTGGCTTGCACCTGTCTTCCTGGCATGCTGATGTGGCAGCTGCCATGCGCTGTTGCTGATGTGGCTGCTGCCACGTGTATCDTTGGCTGACGTGGCTGCTGCCACGTGTTCTTCTGTTTGCTGACGAGGCGAGGCTACGGGACCTGTATTGCTGTTCTGATTATCGCTACTCAGGAGGAGATCGGGACTGTGGAGAGATYGTGGATATGTACCTGGTTGTCTTCATGTCGACATTGCTCCAGCATTGATGAAGGACTGATTAGACGTGCCACGTGGCACAATGAGGTTACTTCAGATACTCGTTCAGACTATTGGTTGTTGAGGTGGTGATCGAGGAGGGAGCCCGAAGCAGGAGTGGGCCTTGTAATTATCTCCTCTCCTTTGTCTAATCTCTCCTCTCTCCTTCGTCTGTGTATGATTATCTCACCTCATTCTGTTTGGATACGATTTTGACTATTGGTAATCAGCAACTGGTTGACACTCTTCTGGACTTGCATTGTTGACAACTGTCTTCACGATCTGGGTTCATTACAATTTGGTATCGGAGCAGTTCTCCTGATGACGACGATTGAACAAGTGTGCACGCGCCAGGTGGCGCGCAGGTAAGAGTGGTGCACATGTGTGTTGAGTAGGTGATGACGTGGCAAGAGATACGCCGGGAATGCTGACGTGGCACAGACTTCACTGGCGAGAAGAGATTGTGGGGGTTGCTGACGAGGAACAGACTTCATTGGTGAGAAGAGATCCCTACCAGGCTGCTGACGTGGCAGTAGGGAGTGCGACTGGAGATACCGCATGCCAGCCTGGATCACGATAGTGACGTGCCCTGCTGACGTGGCATATGTTGTGGCACGTCTGAAGACCTTGTTGCTGATTGTTGACCTGGCACTTCTTGTGCTGCTGACAGACGACAGGGTCTACCGCAGATGCTGACGTGGCCTGGAGGAAGTAGGATTGATTGCTGACGTGGCAGGAAGCAAGTCATCACACATGTCTTCGTGAGGTGGTGACTACCTGCTGACGTGGCATCAGTCTCCTGGGCTGACGTGGCATGGCCTAACTGGCTGGAACGGCGACAGTGTCTCGACACGACATGTGGAAGTGGCACGTGACGAGGATTGGAGTACACATTTGCTGACGTGGCATCCCGCTATTGTACATTGTGGAAACTCGGTGCTGACGTGGCAAGTCTTGGTATGTTGGCACTCCAGGGATGACACGTGGCAGGCTGAATACTGCCAAGTAAGAGGAGCATTCTGAAGGCAAAGGCAGTACAACTGACAGAACTGACGATACAACTATAGTGCCAGCTGTCAGGGAGAGTGCATCATCGCACTGGCACCAGGGAGACACAGCAGGTTGCAGAGGTTGCTGACAAACGGCTTGTTGATGATTGTTGGCATACTTACCTTGTCGTTGCTGTGTGTGGTGCTTGCGTACTTGTGTGTTGTGTCTGATCACATGGGCCTGACGTGGTACCTGAACACTCATCGGACGTCATCTCACAGACGAAAGAACAGCAATTAGTATAAAAAGAGATCTGTTCCTTTTTATTATTCTTTTTAGTTTTCTGTTCCATCATTGCGAATATTGTCTCAAATCTGATTTCCAAAATGTTCGGTGTGTGGAAATTACTCTTGTTTCTTTTTCCAATGACATTCTTAATGGGTGAAGGATCTATCGAACCCAAGACTAGGAGACAGGCGGAAACAAAGAAACAAGAGTTACTGGCTCTATGGAACCAGCTGTTAAGTGATTTGCATCTGTCCGGACCGGACGTTGAACGACATGTTCGTAATCTGTTTGATTTAAAGACGGTAGAGGACCGTTTGAAGCAAGCAATTACGGTCGTGGAAGTTGTAGCTGCCGGTACCGAAGTGTCTAAAATGATGGCCCAGTGCCGGAAGGCGTTGGAAACCATGGAATTGTCCAGGAAAGGGGAAATCAGACCAGAAGTAACCGAGGCTGCAATTGATGCAAACACTGTGTAACCGTTTGAACGTCGTGAACGCGCGTTCGCGTTCAAATGTGCGTTTGAACGCGGATTGCGCGTTCGCGTTCAAAATTGAACGGCGTTCAATTAGTTTTTATTTTTTTATTTAAAAAAAAAATCATTTTAATGCCTAAAAATAACTTTTTTTTCTGATTTTTTTTTTATGAGTTCTGTATGATGTAAGGTACATGCCTCTCAATTTTGGAGTCATTTTGCTAAGGCAAAAAAAAATGAAAAATCGCCAAAGATGGCGGTGTCAAATCGTGTTCGCTCACTA